GGGGGGGGTGTCGTTGAGGGAGGCAAACTTTTGCCGCAAGGTTGGGTTAAAGCGGCACTGCGTGAGGCTTGCATGGGTGGCGGGGCGGTGTGCGGGGTTAGACGCGCCTCCGCCTCGCCACAAGTCTTTGAATAGCAATGGCGCCTCGACCAGGAGGATGGAAAAACAAGTCCGTGGCAGGACGGTGTCGAACCTAGGGGTAGCCAAAATCTGCACTCTTAGAAATATTTTTTTTTCCGCTGTTGCCACTAAGTACATGCACTCACGCAACACTGTAGTGTCCGTGAAACAACCAGTGCAAGCAAAAGATTGGCAATGCTAAAAATGGACTCGCTGGAGCTCCAAAAATGGCTGAGTTTCAAAACCGAGTAGTTCACACTACAGAAACTCCGGCAGGAACGTGCCGAACCTAGCTTGGAATGTCCGTATCTACAAAATCGTATATGAGATACCGCGCCAGCGCCAAGCCAAGACTCTGCACGAAAGACACAGTTATCCTAAATGTTACGAAATACTGAAAAAAAATGAACACTACGGAAACGAGGTCGATCGACAGTAAAGTTTTGGAACCATCAATGGAATTGTACGACTCCAGTTCCAGTGCATCGTCAACCCGCCGACAAGAAAGTAATATGTGAAGTTGCAAAGCAGTCTGCTGGCGTACATCTGCCTTGTTTTATCTTTGTTTGCGAGAGCAAAATTGTTTCGGCATTATTTTTCCTCGGCTGCCGCCCCCTCCTCTAGCCAAAACATTTCTAATGCATATCACAATAAGCAGTCGAGGGGTTGTGCTGGCAAAAGGAAGGTCTAGAAATCATCCAACCCCTCCTCGGCCTCTTTACAGAAAAGGGGGAGAAGTGGGGGTGTGGGTGTCTGGCTCGTATTTATTTCTCGTTTACTTATCTCCGCGCTCCGCTCCTGAGTGGAGTGCGGCTCGCGCCCCTCCCCCTCCCCCTCCCCCGCTAGAGAGTCCTGCCCCTACTGCCAAGTCCTCCCTTATCAGAGTTGCGGACAGCTTATCTGCGGAGGGCCTCCGCACCCCGCCCACCCCTCTTCGGGAATGCTGCGTTTTTAGTCGTCGATAGGGCGCTGCTTGCGGGGTCGGGCCGAGGCAAGCAAGCAGCCGGATGACACGCAAGCGGAGATTCGCCGCGCTCGGGCTTGGGAAAATAAAAACCTAAATCTTATTTATTATTTTGGCGCGGACTTCTATTTCGGTTATTTCCTCTCTCTCTCTCTCTCTCTCTCTCTCTCTCTCTCTCTCTCTCTCTCTCTCTCTCTTTTAAAAAGATTTAGGGGTGGGCTCAGCAAACGTTTCTTATTCCCCTTGGAGGGGCGCCCATATAAAACTCTTGCCAAGTATCGTCTCGTCCCTCCCCTCCTCGCCCCGTCCGAACCCCTCCCTCTGTAATCGGTTTAGCGGCGCACGACGTATGTTTCACTGCACCGCGCTCCTGTACTGGAGGGCTGGCCCTTAGTGCCCCCACCCGCTGCTCCACGGGGAGCATAAATCCTCTCTCCACCCGGATCCCGCTCCGCTCCGGTTTTCACTGCCATGACGCTCTCCGCGAACATTTGGCTCGCTTCCCGATCCCTCCTTTCCGTTTCGCCGATCTCCACCCCAGCACCACCACCTCAAAATTGCAAGCTGCAAGTCCATCATCCCGAACTCATTGGTGTGTGTTTTTCATTGTTCCAGGCGGGAGGTTCTTCTTCCCGGAGACGCCGCTGCAGCCACAGCCGCAGCCGCGTTTCATCCCCTTCCAGCAGACGGCCGACGACCAGCAGTTCCAGGCCGGCTTCTTCCAGCAGCAGTCGCCGCAGCCAGCCTCCTTCTCGCCCTTCCGCTCGGCCGCGCCCGACTACCACAGCGACTTCATCCGCGCGCAGCAGCAGCAGGTGAGTGCCGGCGCGCGAGGAGGTCGCGGAGGCGTGCGGGCCGGTCCGGCGTCTCTCACGAAGCTCTCTTTGTCCGCAGCTCGGCCAGCAGCAAGGCACCCGCCAGCAGCAGCAGCAGCAGCCCGAGCTCAGTCAGTTCGACCGGGTGCCGCAGTTCCAGTCGCTGCAGCCTCAGTTCCCGCAGACGGCGCCGCAGCAGTTCAACCCCTTCACCTTCCAGTCCGGTGGGCCACCCTCCGGGCCAGCGGCCCCCGCCGCCCCGGCGCCGCGGCCGCAGGTGACGCCGCAGCACACACGACTGCAGCAGCCCACGTCCTTCGTGCAGCCCTTCACGCCTACCACCATCCGCCCGCCCGCGTCCGCCATCAACGCGATCCGCAACCGGCGGCCGCAGGTGCAGCAAGTGGACACGACCGGCTTGGGGGCGACGGGGCCGCAGCGCTTCCTCGACCAGGTCGGGTTTGCCTCGCCCACGCTGTCCCCCACGCTTTCGCCCACCCTGCTGTCCTTCCCGAGGGACGACCTCCGGACGGTGCACCAGGACTTCACCAACGCTGAGCGTCAGCAGCAGGGCATCGACGCGATCCAGCAGCAGCGCTGGAGGCAGCAGCAGGTGTCCTTCCCACAGGACGCGGCCTTCCCGACTCAGGCCGATGACTTCGCTCCCGGCGTGGTCGATCAACACCTGGAGGTGGACTACCCGACAACGGCGAGGCCGAGCGCGCGGCCAGTCCCTCAGCGGACCGCGACGCCGCCGCCCACGCCCGCGCCGACGGCCGCGACCACGAGCACCCCCGCGCCGCAGCCCACGACCTACAGGGCGCCCAACCGAGACAACGACCGGAGGATCCAGGCG